CTTCTCTCTCTCTCTCATACACAAAGAAAAACAAACAAACATAATCTTTGGGGGCCGCGTTCCCCATGCTTACGCGGTAGGCAATAGTACCAATGCTCGGTCCCACCTATGCCTCGTTCGATCTATCCCCCTGTCGTCCGCTTTTTGTTACACTGGCTCGATCCCACTGTGGAAGGGCAAGATCGAAAAGGCCCGCTTCTATGGGACTGACACCACCCTAATCCTTCATGAAGAAGGATCGATCGAGCCTTGTGTACTGACCCTAAATAATTCAGGATATAGTATTTCACTCATTTGCTTCCAGTTGATTTTGAGACTCAGGTCTGTATTTCAACAGCTCAAGGTTGTATCAACTGAGTTAGGTCTGTATTTCAACAGCTCTAAGAAACACGAGGGTCAACCTCATACCCTCGTAATTACTTCAGCTTGTGCTGCTGCCGGATGGAGTCAAACCCACGATCTACTGTTTCCAAATTGTGCATCATACCTAATGGGTTAGGCCCTTGGTTAGAAAAATTAGGCACGGAAACTAACGTAAACAAGTATTGTCTCATGTATTTAGCCTAGTTGGGCTTGAACCAAGGCTACGCTTTGGCCGCTCAAGGCATACAGGTGGATCTAGGGTCTACGGGCACTCAACTCTACATCGGGGAACATAACATGTAGCCAAGGCCAGACATTTTTACTACGAGAAGGACAAAAGTCCCACCTTTTTCCCACTTTAGACCCCGCTAAGCCGGGTCCGATCATGCCATGAAACATTAAAAAAAACCCTAAAAAAAAATAATAACAATGCATAATAAAAAGGTAAGACCATGGGATCGTGGAATTACGTACCCAAGCATTTCGTTGCATCACGTTTGAACGAGAGGCACGTATCGGTGCAACCCTTGTTCGATACGATTCACCTAAGCGCCGTGACCAAATCATCTGATAGAGGTCAGTATACCAATCCATGCATTGTGCGCAACACTGTAGGTGTCTCGGTCCCTATTATGCGACACAATAATGCGCATTCACTCTAACACACATGTTACTCTCTCACGTTCGTTGCCACAGCTAAAAATGCCGGGGCGCGCATTCGATGAAAGCTTATGTGTCCGCACTGCCACACTCTTTGCGATTTGCAAAAAACACAATAAACACCATTGGTAAGGGTGTTGCTACGATGACGCCCAGGTCGCAAATCTCGATTGAGAGGCGGCTCCACACACACACACACACAGAGAGAGAGAGAGAGAGAGAGAGAGAGAGAGAGAGAGAGAGAGAGAGAGAGAGAGAGAGAGAGAGAGAGAG